AAACCTATGTCTTAGGGGGTGGGTGGCTTTCTTTTTTTTTTTTTTTTTTTCTGCTCATGCGAAGTCTAGCGGGAAATGACTCGAAAAATGAAATGATAAAAAATAAAAATTTAATACAACAGTATTAAGATTTCGAACCCGGTCAAGGTAGTGCAAATTTATCTTTCTGATATATCATGATTACCAACAGTAATATTGTAATTATGTTAGGCTATCAATACTATTCTATACCTACTATCTAATACTCCTGTACTTTTAGGCAAGATCCACATAATTATGGCGCTTCCTCACTGTCAGTTGACGTTGCAAAAGCTCTCATGCCTTCTATCTGCAGCGCCACTGATTGACGAAGAACAGATAAGGAATCGTAAAATGCAGAACGTCGTCCAATATTAACCGCCATCTCTAGACCTTGGCTTACCATCACCATCTGTCCATAGACATTAAATCCTTCAGCGGTACACTTGAGGGCTTTCGGTGACCCGACCCACAGATCTCTGAGAAGTATTAGTAGGAAACTGCTAGTTGAATGAAGTTCATGCTGAAGCATGAGAGCAGTATCATATTGAGACAGGACTTCGGTACTTGATACTCGGAGAGCTAAAGCCTCAATATCGTGAAGGGCAAGCCAAATATTGATTGGTGCTGGAAACACGAGACGCATGGATGAGTTATGATCAAACATTTGGGACCTTAGCCTTGTATACTCGCGAAGCTCGTTGCTGGGTCGAAATGGAAAGGTATTGATCTCAATGATCTCGCTAAAGAATCGCCGCAGCGTTGTTGTTTCTTCCGTTTCTGGCAAATCAAGATTTAAAATTTCCTTTGCTGTACAAGCAGTCACGAAAAGCATTGTCTCCTTGTTGCATCGAATATTCCTTGTGACGATCCCGTGTAAAGCTTGTGCAATACATTGCGGCTTTAGATCTATTGAGTTATATATTCTCTGGCCCCAGAGAATAATCTGGACCCCCAGTCCCAGGAGAAAAGAAATCGGATCGATAGAAGTCAGGAGAAACGGGGCCAACCACTGAACCGTATCTTGATCCAGCCGAGAGACACGTTCCAATCCCATCCAACCAGAAATGCAAAACTGTAAATGCGTCATGCACCATGATGAATCTGGCGGCCCTCTGGTAATAACAAGTCTCCTTGTCAAGCAATCATCAGTAACCTAGAAACAATTGATGCTAGAAGTTACCTACTGAAATTTAGTAGCGACCTCCGGATATAAGAAATTTGATTCCATGGTGGCTCCTTGCGTTGGTAGATGGGTAGACCTTGGACAATCCTTAGAGTAGAAGCCCATCAGATCTTGGACAGATGCAATAGGCGATATAAGCTCCGAAGCCGAACTTGAAATGTTTTCTTGGTGTATGCACTTCCTTCCAGAAACTGCATACCGAGACCAAGGCCGCTTTAAAGAGCACTGCATTAGTTAGTTATGACATTATACAGTAATTTTAAGAACATTACCTTAATTTTCTCTCTGTGGCATTCGATGCAAAACATACTAGGCTTATTGAAATAGTATAGATAGAATCGAATGTGATAAGCAATGTCTCCTTATACTGCGCACTCTAATTCATACGTAGTATATAATGTTGGAAATTGTGGTGAAATGTATTGTATATAACATCCAAGTACTAGTGGCTTCGGGCTCTAATATTGTGATCTGCAGTTACATCGGACCACGAAACAAGAAATGGCAGGTAGCTAATATTCAGTCGTGCCCTATGTAATTATTATTCGATCTCTATAGTCGACTTGCCAGGCTGGATGTTACTTCGACATGAATCCAACCACGGGACCTATATTCCAGGCGCCCATCACGAGGAGATAGGATCTTTCCTGAGTGAGCCCTAAGGTAACTCCGATGATAGGGGCCGTGCAGGAAAGCAATGGGATACTTCGGCCTTTGGTGCGTCTTGTCTATGAGGTACTTTCTCTCTTTTCTTTTTTTAAAAGAAATAAAATAAAATAAAATAAAATAAACCCTTGATTGTGATGATAATGGTTGCCTTCACAAAACAGTAAGAAGTAAACTATTCTCTTCCCCATGTACAATTTCCATCTTAATTTGGTACAACTCTGTGTGTACTCCGAAGCAATTTTTGAACACCGATGCTATCGAGAACTGGAATAGTGGTGATTATGAGGGGCATATTTCCTTATCCTCTAATATCTTTACTTAGCGAGCTTCTAAATAGCTGAAATCCTAAGCAGCCTACCTTGGAGTCTAATTCGCAGTTAGGGGAGCTGAATTTCTCATCGAGTCTTTTTCTCTCTAATGGAATCTCCTTCATGTCTTTGCTGTCTTAGTGTAATTACGTATTAGTAGTTGAGTCTTTACATAGACAGGAAACCCACCTATCGGTCCATTGACGAGACCTCTTCTTTATAATGAAGAGCCAGATAGCGATTGCAAAGAGCAAGAAAAGAGATATTAGGTCTTCGACAGGTGGCACATTTAACCGTGAGCAAGGCATTGGCACTGGCATTGATCTGAACACAGGAAATTGGATACTCAATCCAAAAGTGGGAATCACTCCAGCTATATGAATTTGAGACCTCGTTCTGCAATGTTTGAGATGTCTGTTTATGCCTACAGGGCTTGTATTGAATAAAATTTGGGATTGATCAACGAGGAACGAATCATAGATTGACTTATAAATTGCACTATAAAGATATGTACATCATTGAGGGAGCATGAGCACGTCATCATCATCAACATTTCCGTAGCGTAACGCCCGTTCTTCCTGCTTCTTCAGTTGCTTCCGTGTTTGTTTGAAGCTCAATACCAGATTTTTACCAACAGAGCTTTCCTCTAAATCCTTTCGAGGATAATAAAAAAACTCACACTGACTATGGGCAATACCCACATCATTTGCGTCTTTCCAATCTTTTTTTTGGCGCACCACACAGATTTCCCCCTCTATTTCGTTACTCCAATACATTTTAGTTATCCAATATTTCAGTGCCCCCACCCCTTCAACCATTCGATCATTGAGACTAGATACTGGAGGACATTCCTTCTTTGCTGCATCCAACGATTGTTCGTTTGAGAGACGGACGTGAGACATTGGGGTTATCGTCGTCCTCGCGGGAAACGGGCGCATGCTTTTCGGCGGTACATATCCGTATTGGTTGATATCTTCGTTGCCAGGAGGTGTAGGTGCCCTGCTGTTTCGATAAAGGCATACCGTAGGAAACGGACTTGTAGACAACCAATACATTTCGATCCGCTGAAGAAGGCTTATGCAAGCCATAATGGAGAGGATTGGTATTCGCGTCGAAGATTGGTGGAAAGTAGGAGCAAACCGAATGAATAACGATAGTAATATTCAGAATCGGCCGGCTGAAAGAACATGCGGTGAGCAGTCGAGCAATGCTTGTCCTTATAATCTGATCATTGACTAGTGACTATTAGACAAGCCCAGTTTAGCCCGAGTCTTCTTCAGATAGATACGAAAGTCCCTCATAGAACAGACTATAGGCCTAGATAGTCTAGAATGAAGCCACAATTTTAACCGTCAACTAACTAATGATTAGCAAGTATGATCTAGTATTTCCACCAATGCAAAGTACTATCCCCACTGTGTAGTAATATCCATGTAGATGCTACGTACATCATCCGATAGGCAACCGCTACAACCACCGACGAATCATCCACGCTATACAACAAGCAATGCGGCCGATATCCTTTCGTACCACAGCATAGAGTGCTTTAGCCATAACCATCCGAGTACTATTTTCTGGGTCCAGAAGCATACCACCGGCATAAGAGTTACGCAACGCTTCTTCCGATACCTCGATTGTGTTGAGCTCATATGTCAGAGTAGCCCGATCACCTTCAAAGCTGATGATTATTTCCTGCTGCAACAACCAATCCTTTTCTAGCCAAAGTAGTTTCCACAGACTAGGAAAGGTTCGTGTGGTTTCTCCGTATTCGAGAAGAGAAATGACCCCTTCCCTACAAGAGAGTAGCGTTTCAAGAGGTAGAAACAAAGGCGCGCCGTGGTTCCAAGTTGGTATTGATCCGCCGCTGCATATTGAATGCGAAATGAGGATTCGATAATTCGTCTTTCTGTGTATCCTAGGCCAGTCAATCCAACATGGAGCTGTCTCTATGCGCTCTTGCTTACCTGACATGTTTGTATGGTTGTAGAAGAAATCAACTGTGCCGCTCAACCTGGTCTAGATTTCTATATCCTGTTCTTATAACTGATACGATCCATTGGTCGCCCAATCACTACACTTGATAGCAAGTGAGCATTTAGCCCGTAGGTTTCTACGAAATACAAAGTACCCGCTTATGCAAAGGTTGTTTTTCCTGGAATCAAGTTAACGACCAACGCCTAATTTTAAGGCTATATCCTTGCATCTTCGTAGAATTCTACCAAGATACAGGGATTATGCGGGATCTTTATCGTAAACAGCTTAGCGTTGTTGGCTAGGGATGAGGTGCATAAGGTACCCACAATGTAAGATTGGTAAATTGAACTGGTACATTACCATGGGTAGTAAGTTGGCACTTACTGTAAAGGGAAAGATACGTACTCATGGAAACAACCATTATGGTCTATAGTTCAGAATGCCAGCAAGTTCAATTTGTCTGGGTTTTGGCGACCACCAATCGCCCCAAATCCTCTATTGATTACGGGCGTCCAGCAAACTATGGAGGTCAGGGTATCTGAGCGCCTGTCTATATATTACGCCGTATTGTTGCTTGCATGCCACCCAAAAAGATAATATAGGAAAACAAACGAAAGAACATCAGTTCATCCAGCTAAATCAAGCAATAGTTCATTCGAACGGTTAGAGACCTTTTCCCCTTATCTATGAACTGAAATCTAATTCTTGCACGGTAACTAGCACCATGTTTTACCCAAAGCTCTACGTCGTGTTCTATCGGCCACGTTATGGGAACTATCAGCATTGGGCCCTGTACGTCGACGAAGAAAGTAACGGTACCATCTTCGAGGTTACAGGCCAACATCCGAGTTTCCAACGAAACGTCGTTTACGCTCGCCCCGATAGTTCGAAGAGCTACCTCGACAAGCTGTACATTGGAACGCTCAGCCCCGATGACTTGAAGCGTGTGGCAAAGGCTGCGAAAGAGACAGGCGTGGACAACGACACACTGGAGTGGGATTGTCAGGATTATGTATTGGAGATGCTTAACATGTTGGAAGAGGAATTCATTTTGGAGAGTGATGACGAAGATTACCAAGTAGCGAGGGAAACATTGAAGGGAAGAAGGGGAGCGATGCTTTAGTAGATTGGATATATCCTCATTTCCATTACACAAGCCGCGTCTCTCTTACACGATCGAGGAGCCACCAATGGGAATAGGCTTTCGGGGATACACAGTCCGGTAGGAAAAGAAACCAATCATTGTCTTCGTATGGCGCTAAGCAGTTTGTACACCTAACCGCTTCGTAGTATTCAGGGTAGAAGCCGCTGTATTCCCAGTCAATAAGACCGGCTATAACCCACGTACCATCCTTCATTGTCACTGCAATATTGTTCGGTCGGAGGTCACCGTGTGTAAAAACAATTGCAGGTGAAGAAGGTGCGCTGATGGGCGGAGCCAGCTGGCGAAGTAATTTCACAAACACTTGACCCCCTTCATGAGATCCGGTGTAAAGGAAGTCCTCGAACTCGCTGGCGCTTAGGATAGGTGCTTCGCTGCGGCGCAGATGCCTTCTAATATCTTTGCATCCTTCTCCTCCTACCCCTCCAAGAGGTGCACCGGGGGTAAAGGGTATGGACCTTAGATCTAGTAGAATCGCGGCCAGTTGCTCCTTTATTGAAGTTTTCTGAGAGGAGTTCAGTATCGACCACACATCGGCAAGCATATTGGAGGAAATATGCGTCATAAAAACCAGCGAAATGTCGTTGACTCGCACAAGCCCAGAAGGTTCAGGCACTGGAACATTCGGCCTATGCTGCCGAAGATACTGTAGTGTTGTATACTCAGTATAATCATCCATATTCCTTATTACCTTCAGAACTATATTGTTTCCGCATTTTAAAACAATTTTGTGCCGAGCAAACGGGGCTTTCCAGATAACCTCGCTAGTGCGCATGATATCGAGCAACCGTTGGGAAAGTCGGACAGGAGAAACTTTGGTACCCCCTGGTGACAACAGCTCCAGTACCTCTTGCGATAATGGGTGCACTATTTCTGCCTGGATTGACGCATCGAAGGTCGTTCGAATATCTTCGTCATCACGGGAGGTTGTGTTGATGATAACATCGTCCACTTTGAAGCGCCATTAGAGACAAATTTCGAAAGTATGGACCCTTTATTACTTACCAGATTGTACAGTTTCGCGCATTTTTCCCAAGCGACCAGAATATGCTGAGGGTAGTTGTGTCGTTAAGTCTAATTCAGGGTCCATAGCAACGGCAGTTTGTAACTTTTTCAGGACATGGGCATTAAATCTTGCGGCTTTGGATTTACGGACACGTGACATGGTTCCGTCTTCCTGTCAATTAATGCGAGATCGGAGAACGTGATGTGCCAGGGAAGAAAAAGTTCAAATAAAGAAAATATATCTGAACGTAGGTTTGGCCGTGGTGAGGTTATGAATGATCAATCTTACACTCTATCGGAGCTCGGAATATGTTTATCCGGTATTATGCCCAGGGCGAAAAATGGAGAAACTAAAATTAGGTCAAAGCGGGTCATTCGTGGATCCATGGGAAGCGCAGGGCGGGGGCAACAATTTGAAGCCAGTGAGCGCGACGAACTTGACAATACACCTCCACAATTTTCTCGCTTCAACATAGGCAATGACGGATATCTTACCAGCACTAAACTCTATAAAAAATGCCCACGATGACGATATTCTTCGAAATCGGCAGCAAACCCTCCAAGTTCTTTCCAGGCTGGAAGAGGTCCTAGGAGAACAACAACCGAGAAGCAGAGTTAATGGCCAAAAGAATCCGGTCGACCCTTTGCATAGATGTGAAAGTGTACTACGCCTCGTACAGAAAAGGCTTCACAGCTTACAACATTATGCAGGAATGTCTGTCAAGGAAGCCGTTGCCAAAGCATCGCACAAAAATGAGGACCCCAGAATTGTTGACGTACAGATCTACTCTGGCGCTAAGGAAAAACCAGAATTCATGCGATTCCGCAGAGCTATGGCGATTCGGTCGATAAGCCTCGAGTACATGCAGTTTCAGCAAGACCAGATCGGTTTTTCTAGGGTAGATTTGCAAGCCATTGAGCTTTCAAGTGCTGCAGACCAAACACAACAGGGAACAATCGATCAATTCATTGCATTTAATCGATCGAGGGCGGACATTTTTAGTCGGAGAATAAAAGATGCACAGGTAGCAAAAATGATGATTAAAGACGGTACGAAAATGCTTGTCCTTGAGAGACTCTATGGGCACTGTGGGATTACCGCCGTCCTATGGCTCATACCAAGCTGGACGAAACTACGCTATCCAGATCTCCCCACTTTTCTCGAGCTCCTATGCCAGAACCCAGAATACCACCGTATCCATGCGACAGCAGAAGATCTTGTTGATTGGTATGACGAGTGTCAAACTTTATATGATGAAAACACCGCAGTCCAGCAGCTCGCTTCTCCTAGAGTCACCTCTCAGCCGATTCGGTTGCAACAGGCAACAACGAGGATAGTAAAGTATCAGAAGAATAGCACAGGGAAGGTAGCAAATAATAGAAAATCCAGATCTAGTACGCGCCCATTTCAACAAAGCAAGCATAGCTTTCACAAAACTCGACAGACAGGCCCAGCTGGTAGGTATATTTCTTTACCTTGGGACTACAAGATACTATGCCAACGCATGGGAGGCATTAATTGTTACTTTGATTTACATATTTACTGATATTTTTTACTAGTATTGCCTCCGATTAAAGAAAAAGCCCAGCGGGATACAAACTCTTCAGTGCAACAGCATCGAACAAACATAGGGGCGCCTAATTTCATAATGGACAGCGGCTTAGGTCCCCCATCAGCTGGTAGTCGTGCATCCCCTGTAACCGAAACTCAACAGATAACCGGAAAGCCAGACGTGTTCGACGCCGGAATGAACTCGTACTCGTTTATTCCAGAAACCCTCACTAATGGACACGCTGCGAATAACATGATACCCACAAACTATTCAGACGTGTTCGATGCTGGGCTTAACGCATACTCGTTCTCCCCCGGTACCTTGACCAACGCATTCGTTGCGAATAATCCAGTTACCCCGACTGGGGAGCCAGACGTGTTCGATGCTGGGCTTAACGCATACTCGTTCTCCCCCGGGACCTTGGCCAACGCATTCGTTGCGAACAACCCAGTCCCCACGATCGGGGAGCCAGACGTGTTCGACGCTGGAATGAGTGCTTACTCATTCCACCCAAGAGCATCAAATTTTACATCTACCGAAGGTAGCTCGAACCTTACAGGAAAAGGACAAGATGTCTTGGTTTCTGGCCAAATCGCTACCCCATTCTTTCCGGAAGGATCAATAAGTGAAGTCGTTGCGAGTGGTCACTTGCGTACATCTAGAGAACCAGAGGCCCCCGAAACTGGGCAACATGCATTCTCTTTCTGCCCTGGTAGCGTCGGTAACATGCCCCACAGCTGGCATGCTTGGGGAGAAGAACGATTTCGGGCTTAAAGTATTAGTTTCACTTTTGTTTACATAAGGGTATATTGTTCCGAACGTCCCAAGTAACATGTGTTAGTTTGCGTATAAGGAAGAGCAGCAGAGTCACCGTGAGGGCCAATCCATCTCTCAATTTAAATTTGGCTCTATCTATTCGGTATCTTCATTTATCCTTTTTGATACGTCATGTTTGCAAGTATAATTTGGCCTCCGCCGCTGAATCTAAGATTGCATCCACCATGAGTTATAAGAATCACGCCCCGTTTGCATTCGCCTATCGTTATGGTCTTTGTAGTGCCGTCTCTCTTTTCCACTTGTATGACTACCTGCGCCCGTATGTCAAATACTATAAAGACGCTCAACACTGTTGTTTTGCTGAAGGCAAAGTGTCCATCCCGACAGGAGCAGAGCTGAGGTTCCGTAGCCTTGGTAATTTCGTCCTTATCAAACAATAATCGAAAGTCATCGCTAAATATCTATGTATTCATCAGTTCAGTTTTTGCAAGAGTTATTAAAAGTATTGTCTCAAACTATACCTTCGGGAGGTATTCGGACTCGTATTGTCGATAGACCCTTTCCCAGCTAGCTGGAAATTTCAGACGAGATCTCGATTGTGTCAAGACCTCGACGTCACTGTTCTCGTCGAGGTCGTTCAAGGATGTCTCCACATACTGCTTGAACTCTTTCGAAGGATTTATCAGTGCAGCAATGTCAGTGTAAAACTTCGCCCCAGAAGCCATCGTGCGATTTGAAGGATGAGGTTGATTCTGGTTTCATTTCTGGTAGGCAGACTCATCATTAGTGGGGTTTTTAAAGTGGGGTCAATTTTCAATGTTGGGCTGCCATTGTGGCGGTTGCTAGGGTCGTATGACCAGAATAGTTTATTAACAGTCATTGTGTAAGCGTGGCTAGTAATGCATCCATGGCTATCTTTTGTGGCGGTGCCGAAACACAAATTCGCTAGATCACATGTCTGTAGACTCGTAAAGGGTCGACCATCCTGGATGACAGCGTGCAATAAGGATACTTCACTTTCTTTGGTGGATATTGCCTTCATCTCCTCTATCTTGCCGCTTTTATTCTTGTGTCATTGCTAAGCTGATTATTACTTATGCACATTTTATATCTATTGATCCACTAATTTAGCCTTCCTTTCAGTAGTATTTCTACTTTGCATGGGAATGTCATTTGTACACCGAGTACCAATAATGGCCCGTCTCTCACGGGCAGAAGTATCAAAAAGATATCCCATAGCAGATAGATTGGATACTTCTCGACGCGCCTTTGAGGAGTTTTGCGCTATATCTAGTATTGTTAGGCCTTTCACCGCGGACGATCTGGAAGATAATAAAAGTAGAGAGCGTGGGGTTGTCTCTTGATATATTTCTGATCTTCGTAGGGTTCAAGAATAAGCTTGTTGAATTAATTATAACTCTGAATAGTCTTGCTGCAACGTCGCATCTATTATCAGTTACTAAACATAAATTCTTCCGAAATGATCTTCACCAAGTTATATCAGTAGGTAACTTATCGGAATTTAAAGTCTCACGGATTCTTACTCTGCTAAACGTAATATTTGATTAACAGTTAAATATAATTATCTGGGATAATACCTATGCTGCTGTTACACAATCTACCCCTTCTCTAAGTTGATTTCTTATCTTTTTTGAATACCTCATTCTCTTAACACGAGCACTTGTGTCAACTCTGAGACTGTATCATGGCATAAAACGTGGCTACGCTCTATACATCTTTTAACGGGAAAATTGCTATTAGTGAATACCAACGGGGATCAGTAATGAAGTAGTTAAACGCAAAAAGCGCACATCCCGAGATTTCGGCAAATCGCACACCGGGAAAAAGTCACTGCGGCAGCAGGGAACATGAAGCAGATCTGGCGCCTCTCCCGCTGGGCTAAGGACCGGACCACATACCAAGCCTACACACCACCACTGCAGGTCCCGAACGGGCTCGAGTTCCTACCGGAAGAGAAGGCCAGACTCCTGTCCCACACCAGAACCAAAAAGGGTAAAGAGATGGTCGAGGCCAACCTCCCCATTACACCCACCCCGTTGCCCGAGGACACTGGAATAGTCAGAACCCTACGTGGGTGAGCAATCACCTGTGCGCATGAGGTCCGCCTGGCAGCAGATACCAGCACACCAGACAGCCCAACCGGGACGGACTCGGAAACATCAGATTCCTCAGGGACCGCAGAAGGCATCCGGTCAGAAGAGTCCGAACGGTCAGAACGATCGGACGCGGGAGCGTCATCGGCCCCGGAGACTCCGAATCGGAACTAGATAACCCCTGCACACCAGTCCGCCTCTGACACTAACACAACACCAGAGCCTCAACCAACGCTATCCCCACGAGCAAGCTTCCAAGCACTTTGACTGCTTCACAGTACCAAATATTCTACTATTACATGAGCCTTCGTCAAGTCTTAACCTTATATTGAGCTACCAATTCTTATAAAGTAAACCGCCTAAGCTTCAGATAATATATAGTCTAAACCAGTTAGACCGCTACTATCGTCCAGCTTCAAAAACTGCTTACCAGCTGCACTTGAGAAGGAAGCTAGCCATTATCATTAGAGATACAATAAGACAACCTGGCCTTTATGCTTCGGTCTGATTATTATAAACAGTTTGCCCCACACTCCGTATGATACTCAGCCAACAAATGTACTATCGACTAGTCACCTTTCAAATATATCAACACCAAGAATTTCATAAGCATGTATACCTGTCTTTAATATCGGTTGAAAGGACAAGTAGTTGCACTACACCAGAAATTTTGGTCTCAGTCAAAAAGACTCCGTGGTCGCATTGTACGGCTAATATTTTGATCCAAGAGAGAAACGCAAAGATCCTGCGCGAATTCTGGAACACGTGTGAGAAGACTGTTGTCAAGAATAGGAAACACGGAACCTCTTAGGGTTGTCAGGTTGTCCTTCACGAGCCTAACCACAACATCTCTAAGTCCTCGGTTAAAGCTAGCTGTTGAAGTGTACACCTCTACAATAGTGGAGGCAAAGGAGTCTGAGTTCTGGTTCCCAATAAATGATGCAGCAAAATATTGCTTCGCCTTAACTTGAAGACGATCAATCAGGAAGTACTCTCCTTGGGCATACATTTGAGCATGTATTATTGCAACATGGCTGTCCCTATTTCTTCCACTAGTTCGCAAACTAGTATCTAGTACAGCAGTAGGTGGAGGCTCAGGCTCCTCGAAGGTGTAGTCGCCTGTATAGAGAAACTGCAGCATTTTCTCGACTAAAATGGCTTTTTGGTCGACGAGTTCAATCCTCCCTTTATTTTCCTGAGACACACTCCTGGGTTAGCACCTGTAAATTTTTCTATTCTGCAAGAACAAGCGATCATACTTTGAAATTCCCATCACAGGCCCGTTGAAAGAATTTAGACTGCAAGCATACAATATTTCTATGGGCAGTAAAGACTATGTCCCCACAAACGATCGTTAGATCACTGTATTGAGGGTTCAAGAACAATCTATCGTAAGTTTGTCAGTAAGGTGTATACCTCTGGGTAACGCATGCTAGTACCTTGAAACCAGGTCTTGTAAATGGCCGGCATCATTATCTTCAGCCACTGACTCTGGAGGAGCGATTTGCCCCCCGTTCTTGTTCTTTGGCTTTGGCATTTGAGAAAGATGTTGTTCAGGAAATGGTTAGTAAAGATACTGAGCAGAACTACCAGATATGTGAAGATGCAAAATTGAGGGGTGGTAAGTCATGTGTATCTGCAAGGCTGCCATACGGTTATGGGCTTTATTAGGCTAGCCTAACCCGGGCGAATAGATAAGACAGAACTGATAAGCTGGTGACTAGAAAATACGATGCTCAGGACC